GGCAGTGTTTCGTTCTGTTGTGCACAGGGTTGCTATGAGCCTATAGCATCTAGCATTAACAATCCTTCCCCCCAAAGAATCTTGCGCTCTTAGAATTTTGCACATCACGTCAAAACGGCAACTTTTGTGTCTTCAAGGGATTCAAATTATGTTCTTTTTCAATGTTCTTTGAGAATGGGGATCAAAAAGAAGTCTAAAGGGGCAAGATCCGGATTGTAGGGAATGGGGCAGGGTTTCCCACTGACTCTCGTAGACAGCCCTTGCCATCCATGAAGAATGAGCTGGTCATAGAACAAATTCCTTGGTGCAACGTTCCTGGACTTTTTCTTGTCGATGAAGGTTTCCATTCTCTTACAACTTCTTCGTAAGAAACCCCGATGATTGCCGTGTGTCCTTCAAGAAAATCTATCAAGATGGACACCTTGATGTTCTGTGCTGCGGAGTCCGTTCCAACTCAGAGCCCTCCTGTATGGGGTTTCCAAGGATGTACATCTTTACAGGAGCAGAAAGCATCTTTCTCTGGTGGATTTTCTGGTAAGCTCAAACTGCCCACCTTGTGGTTCATAGGCCAGTGCCTATCCTATGGAGCCACCTCGCTCCCAGATGACCCCAATTACTGTGAAGTTGGTTCCGACCCATAGCGACCCTGAACAGGGTTTCCGAGGCTGTAAATATGGGAGCAGAACAGCTCATCTTTCTCCCGCGGAACAGCTGGTAGTTTCGAACTGCTGACCTTGAGGTTTGCAGCCCGATTCGTAACCACTACGCTACCAGAGCTCCTTAGATGACCCCTTGAGAATCCCAAAAGAAAAGAGTTACCATAACCTTCTGAGCTGAGCTCTTTGCTGCCTTGAATTGACTGGCTCAGCAGATCCCCTCAGAAGCTGCTGTTTTGATTGGAAGACAGGGAAGAGAGTATTGTTTTTGTTAAGTGCCTTCCAGTTGGTTTTGAATCATAGTAACCCTGTATAGAGTTTCCTAGGCCGTAAATCTTTATGGAAGCAGAAAGCCTCATCTTTCCCCTGTAGAGTGGTTGGTGGGCTCGTACCACTGACCTTGTGGTTAGCAGTCCAGTGCGTATCCAACAGAGTCAGTGCGCTCTCGTAACAAGACTGAACAAATGCACGGTCAAGAGAACTTGTCTGCAGCCGTCACCGATCGCAGAGATGTTTAAACACATCGCGTCTGGATTAAACCCAGGAATGTCTAAACTGGAACCTTAATAGCAGTACTCTTCTGGCTTGTCCTCGGATCTGGGCACACACAGGGCTAGACAGCAACACACACACATGTGGCCACAACCACACCATTCAAGCACACTGCAGTCTGCAGCTCTGAGCCACTTTGCCTGCTCTCTGAGTCTCTGGGCTCAGGCTGCCTCTGTTCTCCCCACTCTCTTGATGGGGCAGGGCCACGGGCAATCGGGCCCTGGGGGTCCCGTGCCCCCCTCAGCCTCTGGCTCTTGCAGGGCTGCACCGCAGCCCTCCAATTGGAGGCCCAGAGTCCCTCGGTCTCCTCACTGCCCAGTACCTGCACACATCAGATCAGCGAGCCAAGGATGTGTGCTGGGGTACTGAGGGAATGGGTGAACTGCTCACACTCGGAACCCACCCTGCAATGCCCCTTGCCACGCCTCTGCTCCCGTACCCTGTGCCCCTCACTCAAACTCCAGTGGCTGTGTCCCTGTCCCCCCATACACCTCACCCACACTCCAGTGGCTGTGTTCCTGTCCTCCCATACACCTCACCCACACTCCAGTGGCTGCGTCCCTGCCCCCCAGTGGCCCTGCATCACACTTCCCCTGTGGTCCTTCCTGTAACTCCCCCTGCCCCTGAAGCCCACGTGCCACGGCCCAGTGGCCACGCCTCTGCCTGTGTGTGCCTGGCGCCCTGGCCCGCAGCCTGGCCCACAGCCTGTGCCCTGACACTGTGCTCACTCTCTCTGCAGGTGGAGCGGGAGATAGCCATCCTCAAGCTCATAGAGCACCCGCATGTCCTCAAGCTGCACGACGTTTATGAAAATAAAAAATATTTGTAGGTATTGCTGGGTTTGGAGAGCTGGGCTGGCAGACGGGGAGGAGTGGGCATGGGGCCGAGACTGCAGATCCTGTGGCAGGACTTGGGTCCTGGAGTCCCCACTGCTAGATCAGGGGGCAGGGGTGGCTTGGGCACACCTGGACACCTGGCTCTGGGCAGCCTTCTGCCCCCACCCCACTGTGCCCGGGGCTCCCACTGGAGGTCACCGCGGACCCTCCCTACAACTTGCACTGAACCTGTGAGCCCTCAGCCCCATACCTGGAGTCCGGCACACCTGCCAGCCCCACTCAGGGAAATGCTGGGTCACATCTTACCCACCCCCTTCCTGGCAGGACTAGGGTTCAGCAGGCATGGTGGAAACTCCAGTACTGCTCCGTGCTCCCTGTGTGGATTTGGTGTTTATTCTCCTGGGAATTGGGTGCAGTGTGGGGACAGGACTGTGGAGCAGGGACCCACCCTAGCTGGGCCATCACCACTGTGTGGCCTCAACAAAGCCCTTGTCCCCTGTGTGTGTTTGGGGGCGGGACTGAGAAGAAGGGCACACAAATGGTGCCCTGGGATGCATTCCTGGTCTTCAACCCCATTCCTGCTGCTCCATGGATCACCTGGGCCCAGGACTGTCCTCTTCAGTCACTGAGTTCTGAATCCTTATATTCTTGTGTCTGGGAGCCCTTGGGGACTAGAGTTCCAGCGTCTTAGACTTAGGCTGAGTTGCCCATCTTATTTGGTATCAGTGGTTGATACTGGTAAGGTGCCTTGGTATACCTCGCAGGTAACAGGACAGCACAAAGGTGCACGCTGCTAGCCTGGGCGCACAAACCAGGAAGTGGTTGGAACAATAGGGTTCCTTCAAGGCTGTGCAGCTGGTAGCCGCCAAGCAGGACAGATGGATGCTCCGCCTAGACCTCAGGGCCACAGGCTGCTTCTTAGAGACATGGGGGTGGGGGGGAATCCCGTCACCCCTGCAGGCCCAGCCCCATTAAACCTGGCTTACTCTCACCGTCTTTCCTCCCTGGGTCCTTGGCAGACCTGCTCATGTATCCCCCCTGCCTTAGCTCTGCCTGCTTATTCTATCCCCACCCCCACCCTGAGGGCTGAGGATGTGTCTGATTCAGCCAGAACCCAAGGGGTGGGCCAGGGAGGAGCTTGATTGGCTGAGACTGGAGGCCAGCCAGCACCCTACTTCATGAACCAGGACAGGGCCTGCCATCTACATTCAGGGCTGTCCCTTGTTCCTAGGCCCCAGGAACTCAGAGGGTACCTCTGCCCCCTGCCCTCCCGGTCCTGCCCCCCAAGTCCTGGTCCTGAGGCAGGAGGGTGCCTGACCCAAGGAGGCTCTGAGGCTGGGGGAAGGGCACTGAAGGATCATGGGTTCTGGGGTGGTCACAGTCCTGGGGTGCACCATCCCGACGTGTGGGTCCTCTCATAGGTACCTGGTGCTAGAACACGTGTCTGGTGGGGAGCTGTTTGACTACCTTGTGAAAAAGGGGAGGCTGACCCCCAAAGAGGCTCGCAAGTTCTTCCGACAGATCATCTCAGCGCTGGATTTCTGTCATAGTCACTCCATATGGTGCGTGGCTTGGTCCCCAGCCACTCCCTCTGGAGCGTTCCCTCTCCAATGCCCCTAGCCCTCCCGGCGCCCCCTCCCCCACATGTACCATCTCCTCCAGTCAGTTTGAAACAGTGCCCCTCCCTCCAGAGGACATTAGGAAGGTTCTGCCGGGTATCCACACAACGGCGTGGGAGCCCACTCCCCAGTGCCAGGTGGCCTTTCAGACGTTGGGGGGGGGGTGCGGGGGATACGCAGAGCAGCTCTGTGCTCCCAGCTGAGGTCAGGGTGCCCGCCCCCCAGACTGGAGAGAAAGCCCGAGTCTGCAGGGAGGACGGGAAGATGCAGGCCTAACCAGGAGGCAGGAGCTGGTCCCCATTTAATCCCCCAAAGCCCAAACCGGCAGACGACTTCTGATTGGCTGATCGTGACATCACCAGGATGGGTTGTCATTGGCCCCTGGGCTGCCTAGATTGGAGTTGGGGGGAGGGGAGGCAGTTCTGGTGGTGGTGCAAGGAGAGGGTTTGAGGGGGCCACCCTGGGGCTAGTAGGGTCGGACATTAGCCAAGGGGCATCCCCAAGGGCGGGGGCGGGGCTGGGTAGAGGAGAGGCCGTGGCTCCAAGAGGTCACGCGGCCTCTCCCCGCGGTCATCTTCAGCCACAGGGATCTGAAACCAGAAAACCTTCTTTTGGACGAGAAGAATAACATCCGCATCGCCGACTTCGGCATGGCGTCGCTGCAGGTTGGCGACAGCCTGCTGGAGACAAGCTGCGGGTGAGTATCCGTTCTTGGTCCCCGTCCGCGTGCAGCCTCTGGCGGGAACCCGCGGAGTCAGGCCCTTGGTCCAGCCTCCACGCGCCCTCTGCTGGACACTTTTGGTGCTGCACCCTCGGACCCTGGAGAGGCCTGCCCTCCGGAAGAGCTCCCAGCTCTGGGAGGCCTTGATCAGACGGGCAGGGGTGACCAGGGCCAGACTTGGAAAGCTTCGAGGGTCTCTGAGGCCAGGGAGCCTTGGGCCTTTACTGCCCACCCAGCCACGGGGCCATGAAGCTTCTAGACTGATTTCCAACTCCAGCACACAGCCTGGGCTCTGCCCGCGGCGCAAGGGAATGGGCCCAGAAGACACCCCGCTGTGGGGTTCAGGTGCCCCTGCCAGCCCGGACCCCGTGGTCTTTGCCCCAGCTCTGCTAGAATGCCCTGTTGTGAGAACTGGCGAGGGTTCCCTGCCCTCCACCAGGCCCCTCCGTCCCATTCAGACCCCTGCCTCCAAGTGGCTTCCTTCCCTTCCCTCCCTGCTTGCACATATATCTTCGCTCTGCAGGCCCCCCACTACACGTAAGTTCTCTCCACATCTCCCCTCTCCCATCGCAGGACTCTTCCCCCTCCTAGCAACTACGCCTACTCTTCACATAGGCCCCACCCTCCGCCCCTCCTCCTGCTCGAAGTCCCGCCTCCTCACAGGCCCCTCCTCCAGTTTAGGCCCAGATTCCTCTGCAGGTTCCTCTTCAGGCAGTGTTTGCACTCAGCCTTGGGATTGATCTGAGGACCACCCTAGTGAGGGCTGAGCAGATGGCAAACAACTTCCCCATCCCCAACTTGATCTCCTCCGGGGAGCAGGGGGATTGCGCATTCTGGACAGCCAGCTTCTTAGGGATCCGTGGTGGGCCTAGCCTCTAGTCGTCTTCAGCCTAGGGGAGTTTGTGGGGTTAGGGGGCTGACAAGAGTGAACAAGGGCCGCCTGAGGCCAGGGAGACGCTCCGGGAGGCTTTGAGAAGCAGGAGGGTCTGGAGACCGCGTGTTCCCCGCTGACCAGCTGTGTTTGCTTTCAGATCCCCCCATTACGCCTGCCCCGAGGTGATCCGGGTAAGTAACCAATGGCCTCACCCTTGCTGAAGGGACCTCCCCACCCCCTGCCTGGGTACCCCGTTCCTGCTCCTTGCACCCTGTAACGACCTGGGCCCTTGATGTTTGCAGGGTGAGAAATACGACGGCCGGAAGGCGGACGTGTGGAGCTGTGGCGTGATCCTGTTCGCCTTGTTGGTGGTGAGGCCCCAGCCTGCCCTCCCTGTGTCCACTCCTTCTCCCCGCTGCCTCCCTTCTCCTCTCTGCTCCCCTCTCCCGATCCTGACCCCCTTTTTCCTTCCCAGTCCTTGCACCCGCCCCCTTCTTACCTGATCTCTCTAGCCCTGCCCGCGCCCCTCTCGCTCAGTGCCCTCTGCCCTTCTCTCCTGGTCCCCTTTTCCCTACTTCCTTTGCCGTCCTCCGGTCTCCCTCCTTACCGCTGCCTCCCCCTCCCCCCTCTCCACTTTTCCCCCAAACCCCCGACCCCGTACGGAGCTGTCCGCGGTGCTGCCAGCTGTCAGTGAGCGTACTGACGCTGCCCTGGCCGCCCGCAGGGGGCGCTGCCCTTTGACGACGACAACCTACGGCAGCTGCTGGAGAAAGTCAAGCGTGGCGTCTTCCACATGCCCCACTTCATCCCGCCGGACTGCCAGAGTCTGCTCCGCGGCATGATCGAGGTGGACGCAGCGCGGCGCCTTACGGTGCGTGGGGCGAGGGGACCGCACACCTTCCCTAGCCATGCTCAGCTCCCATCAGGACGTCCACTCCTCCATCCCCCGCGGTGGGCCCACCATCTCCCTTCCCCTTCTTCCTTCCTGGCTCCCTTACTTAACCCACGCCCAGGCCTGTCCTTTCCGGGGCATCTCTGCACCCTTCCACAGATCCCCACCCTATGACAGCTACATCTGTCTCCAGCGCCCCCTTCAGGCACTTTCACTGGGGAGAGACTGCTGTGCCCGTAGGTGTGGAGAGGGTTTGGGGGTGTCTGCAGGTGTGGAGAGGGTTTGATGTGTGTGTGTGTACAACTGGGCGAAGGGCAGGCATATGAAACAGGAGTATCAGGATGTGTGCATGCGTGCACCTGTATGCACAGTTAAGTATATGTGTGTACACAGGTGTGTATGTGCAAAGATATGTGTGTGCATGCACATGTAGGTGGCAGGTGTTTGCCTGGGAATGTGCAAGCAAGGGGAACCATGATGTATGCACAGGTGTATGCACTGGTTTGCTAGTGCACAGGTATGTGTGTGAGCGTACGTGTTGGCGGCAGGGCAGGGCTGTGCATGTGGAATGGGATCACAGTGTGTGTGCATTTATGTGTGTGCTCAGGGTGAGTAATTGACAAGGCAGACGTGTGTATGTGTGCACATGTGCATTTGTGTAGAGGTGTGTATGTGTACAGATGGATGGTAGGCCTTTGCCTATCACTGGTGTGCCCAGGTTGGTGGCACAGATGTGTGCTGGGAGGGCATGTGTCCACTTTGAATGGCCTGGGCGTGGTGGATCCACCTGCCTGGAGCTCTGCTGCAAACCTTCAATGGTCCCTACAACCAGCGTGGGTGGTTGCAGGAGGGTTGGATGACTTATTCCAGGATCCTAATGAGCTGGTCTTTCCAGGATGTAGGGCTCACCCTGGGGCTGGCCCCTGTTCAGGGAGGAGAGGTCCTGTCTGTGTGCTGAGGCTATCCTCGGAGCCTCCTGCTCGCACCTGCACCCCGGCCCTCCTGAGCCCCCTGCCCTCCTCCCTCTGGACCTCCCCCTGCCCCCCAGGGCTACAACCAAGGGTGAAGCACAGCAACCCAGGGAGAGGGGCTCTGCCTCCCTGCTCCCCTCCCCTGCCTAGAGTCTCTTCCTCAACCCCTTACCTTCTCTAGGTTTGTTTTTTTCTCTCCTCTGGGGGGATAGAAACATATCCCCTCTCCCTCCCTCCTGCCCCTCCCCTATTTTTACTCCTCCTCCTCCCACCTTCCTCCCATCTAGTCCTCCTTCCCACCCTTCCCCCCCTCCTTGTCCACTTCCCTCTTCAACCTCCTCTCCTGTGCCCCTTTCCACCTTCTTCCCTCTCCTTCCTCCTCCTCCTGCTCTGTCCTCACGCCTCCTAATTTGGGCTCCCCTCCTTCCTCCGTACTAACTCCCTGTTTCTCTTTCCTTGTAGCTAGAGCACATTCAGAAACACATATGGTATATGTAAGTAGCTTTTCACGCACTAATCACCTGCTTTGCCTGTGGCCAGAGGAGCTGCTAGGAAGGGGGGAGGGCACTGGCCCAGGGCAGGCACCTCCCAGCCCTCAGCGGGGACCCTCTCTGACCTGGCCTGCGGGTGCGGGCAGGACGCAAGAGATGTGCAGGGGCCGGGCACAGGGAGAGCATCAGGACCCCGGGTCCCAGGAGAGGGCCGGGCCTTCCACCTTCCCCAGCAGCCTCAGGGTAGGAGTGGAGGAGCTTCCTGGGCTGAGGACAGTAACCTTGGTGATGTCCTGTCATCCACAGAGGGGGCAAGAATGAACCTGAACCAGAGCAGCCGGTCCCTCGCAAGGTGCAGATCCGCTCTCTGCCTAGCCTCGAGGACCTGGACCCTGATGTGCTGGACAGCATGCACTCGCTGGGCTGCTTCCGAGACCGTAACAAGCTGCTGCAGGACCTCTTGTCTGAGGAGTACGTCCAAGGCTGGGGAGCTGTGGGGCTGGGTCAGGGTCAGGGAGTGTGTCCATAGTGGACCAGAGGGCGAGGGCCCGAAGTTCCACCCTCTGGGTCCCAAGAATCCCAAGGAAGATGCTGGGAGGGTTGAGGTGGCCGCTGAGAGTTGGGACGTCCTCCTGTGATCGTCACCTGCTGGGGACAACTGCCACAACCCAAAAGTGGCTATTTGCCGTGACCTGTGTGGAGAGATTAAAACCCAAGTAGGGGCGACCGGAGATTAAAGTTAAAAGAAAGACACAAGACACGATTGAAAAAAAGTAAAGTTTGGACCAGGTGGGACGCAGCACTCTGATGGAGACACTGCAGCTCAGATCAAGGCAGTGACGTTATTATATACACAGCTCAAGGGGAGGTGCTGGGGGCAGGGAAAAGAATCACATCTCGTATTATTGATGGACACAGTAAGTGGGACTTTATCAGAAGAATGCAGTTGCTAGGGAAACAGAGATAGGGCAGCTAGATATTTTTGCAGACTTGAACTGAAGGTCATACAAGGAAAAAACCTTGCAAGTTCCCTGACCCCCGAAGCAGTCCTGTAAGACCTGGGAACTGCCCGGTTTTCTGGACCACAACCGTTCAGTTGCAGTCCTTTGGTTAAACTACCCCCAAGTCTAAGACCTTCAGCTCACATGGCTCTCAGCAGTCACCTGTCCTGTGGCATCTCTACCTGACTACAGGGAGAACCAGGAGAAAATGATCTACTTCCTCCTCCTTGACCGGAAGGAGCGGTATCCGAGCCATGAGGATGAGGACCTGCCCCCCAGGAATGAAATAGGTACAGGATCTGAGGGCAGCCCAACCAGAGTCGGGCTGTGCAGGTCGAATGTGGCCTGACCCCCTATCTGTGCGCAGATCCCCCCCGGAAGCGTGTGGACTCCCCCATGCTGAACCGGCATGGCAAGCGACGGCCAGAACGCAAGTCCATGGAAGTGCTCAGCGTGACAGACGGTGGCTCCCCGGTGCCTGCTAGGAGAGCTATCGAGATGGCCCAGCATGGCCAGAGGTAAGTACTCCAGAAGGCCTGACTGGTGTGGGCTCCACTAGGTGAGGCTGGCACAGAGCGGTGGGGCTGGGAGGCCTTGGCAGGTCAGTTCTTGGCTTTGTGGCCTGGGATGAGCTGGGCTTTGCCGGGCCCGGCCGGGAAGTATAGGATTGTGCAGAGCTGCGATGGCCAGGCAAGGCGGAGCTGAGTTGAACCATCTTGGCTTTGGTGGCCTGGGTTGAGCTGTCCTGGGCTGAACAGCACTGGGCCGGGCCATTAAGCATAGCATTGGGCTGAGCGGATTTGACTACACTGTACTTTTATTTTGTTGATCTGTGTTGGACTGGGCTGAGCTGGGCAAACTGGCCTGAGCTGTGTGTGCTGAGCTGAACTGGGTGGACTGAGCTGAGCCGGGTGGGCTGGGCTGAGCTGAGTGGACTGGGCCAAGTAGTGGACTGGCTGGGTGGGAGGAATGAGCCTCACTAAGCTGGTGGACTGGACCAGTCCTGTTCTGCCTGCCTCCTTGGGACACAGAGCAGCTAGCCTAGCTGGCTCCCTGGCACATTGCAGAGCAGTGGAAGTGGCCTACAGAATGCTGGAGGTGTGACGAGGGAACCGTTGTTAACAGAGCTCCTGGGGCTGAGTCTCAGCCTGGGCAGAACACAGGCCCTCTCCCTTAGGCAGGGCTTCAGTGTGGGGATGGTCTTAGGAACCAGCGAGGGCACCAGAAGTTTCAGTACCCCTGGTTGCCCTGAGGTCTGGGCCCTAGTGCCCACTGCCCTTCCAGCCTGTGCCAGGTGCGTAGATGCACTGTCAGATCTACTCCTAAGGAATTTGCGGTGAAACACAAGGCACCGGGCCACCATCTTGACAACCCTGGGCCCTGGCTCCAGCTACCCTAGGCTGGTTCCTGGTCCTTAGGCCTGTCCAGGGGACCAGGCTATGCTCCCAAAACTGGACGGGGAGGTGAGGGGCTTGAAAGGAGGTTCTGCTGACCTGATCTGGTTCGTGACTATTTGGGGTGAACTCAGCCCCAGAAACCCAGGTCCATCTTGCAGTGGTCAGCAGCCCCTAGCTCCATTTCTGGGGCCTCCCACTGGACCCCTGAAGTCTGGCTGAGTGCTAGCTCTGAGCCCCTCCCTCACAGGCACACTCTGCCACCGCTGCCTGGGGGGGGGGCAGGAGACCCCAACTACCTTAGCTCCGACCTCCCTGTGCGGCGGCCTCTCCCAGTCCCCTGGCACCCCTGGGTGGTATGTGTTGGGCTGGGGTCAGGGTGTAGACCCTGGGCTGTGGACCAGCCTTGAAAACCATCTCTCTTGGGGTCCACCCCACTGGAGCTCCTCCTCCCAGTTCAGTCACCTGCAGCTCGAGCCCCTGATTAGACCCCTCTGCAGGGCTGGGAGAGGTAATGACCGTGCTGAATGGTGCCCCTAGCAGCTCCACTTTGTGGTACCCCTTGTCTGCCCAGCTCCCTCTTGCTGTCCCCAGCCTCGAGCTGCCTAGAGGTCACGGTGAAGCGTGGCCTGTCCCCAGCTGCCTGCAGTGGCCGTGTGGTAACTCTCTTTTCTCGCTTTGTTCCTGCTGTAGTAAAGCAGCGTTCAGTAAAAGCCTGGATATCGTTGAGGCCCACCCCCAATTCAGCACAGAAGACAGGTACACATCCTGCCCACCCGACCCCACGCCCTGCCCGCACATGCTGTCCCGCTGCCGGGCGGGGCAAGGCAGATGGCAGGGCCACTGGGGCCCCTCCCCAACCATCTCACCCCAGGACAGCTTGGGGCCCGGGGTCAGCTGAGCTGAGGTCCAGGAGGAGCCCCCATGGCCCCAGGCTGGAGACCTGCATGGTTCTCCCTGGGAGTGTGGCTGGGGTTACCTTGATGGGCATCTCGGGCAGTTCAGGGTGACCTCTGGCTCCCGAGAGTGGGAGAAGGCTCGAGGGTCTCACCTGGGCATTGGTGCCGCCTCTTTGGGTTGATGTTGGGCCCACCAAACACCTTCTGCTTCCTGCGCCTGCTGCCCCCGCCGCCGCTCGCTCCCCACCGCCGCCCTCCTGCCGGGCCCTAACAGCATAGCGTCCAGGGTTCAGCTGGACAGTAGCGGGGGGAGGACCCTTCCTAAGCCTGCTTACACTGCTCCTTCTTTTTTGTTTGGGGGCCGGTGACAGGGTCTTGCCCCCTGATTGGGGGCGAATGGGCCTCCTTACCAGGGCCACAGCTTGACCAGGGCTGAGGGAGGGCTGTGGTCTCCAGCCAGGACAGCAGGGTGGAGAGGAAGTCACTGCCACCTCAGCTGGCCCGTGTGTTAGCTGGGCAGGGTTGTCACCACCGGGCAGCCCACAGGGGACTGGTGTGGATCCAGGAGCCAGCCTCAGCCCAGGGGTGGGGATGAAGTGGGCACCATCCACACACCTTAGTCTCTCAGGTCTGTGGGTGCCAGCACCCAGGGGTGAGCGCACACTTGCCTCTGCTCTTCCTGTGGGGGAGGGAAGCGTATCCATAGTAGTTCTGGCTGTGTCTGGCCCCACCATCCTGCCGATGCCACCAGCTTGCCCAGGTTCAGCTTAGGCTCTTGTGGGGTGGACTTTAGGTGGGGAAGGGTACACTTTAGACATGGCCAGTCACCAGGGTGTGAGGACTGGGGCCCCGGCCGGGCTCAGAGGTCAAGCTCAGAACAGTTGCCACAGAGAGAGAAGCCGGCTTACCTAGGCTGGACAAAGCCTGGCATGGGGCCCGGCCCAGGCCCAAGGCCCTGCTGTTCATCCTGGGCTCTGGGCTGCACAGGGGGGCTCGGGGGCTCCCAGATGCTGGGGTGCTTCTGAGATCTTGTACATGGTGTGGGCTCAGCAGTACTGACTAGCGCCGGTGGCCGCCTGGAGGGTTCACCTGGGGTGAGGGGCGGAGACGGGAGACATCTGCTTCTGAGCCCCCCTGACTCCGACTCCTCTGCCTTGCCCCCAGGTCTCGGTCCATCAGTGGCGCGTCCTCGGGCCTCTCCACAAGTCCACTCAGCAGTCCCCGGGTAAGTGACCCCGCCTCTGCCAACTCCCCTCAGCGCGCACGGGGGCGGGAAGGAACCCAGGTGCCCCCACCCCATGCTCCACCCCTTCCCGTGGGGGCTCCCTGGCTGAACCTCTCCACCACGCACAGACAGACAGGGCCGGCTCCCTCGCTGCCCCCTGGCTGCTAACTGCACGTTCTTCTGTTTTGTTTGTCTTCTCGTGTGTCTCGTGTTTTCTTTTGTTGCACGCCCATCCCTGCCTGCCTGTCTCACCAACCAACCCCCTTGTCCTCTGGTGCCCCGCTCTGTGTATGCATGCGGGTGCATGGGCTTACGGCGCGCGCGCGGGCTGCTTGCGACGTGGACTCCCTCGTCCCTCTTCTTCGCTTGCTCGTCCCCGCTACCCGTAGCCTGTTAGGAAGTTCGTCCTGCCTCCCCCGCCCCCCGAGCCGCCCCTCCTAGTTTGCCCCCTGGCCACCTCCGCGGAGCCCGGAGCCTGTCGGAGCGCTTTGCGGGCCGGACGCGCGCCCCCAACACCGACCCCGCGGCCCAACCCCTGGACTCAGACCCTGCCGTGCAAGGGCGTGCGCACCGACCGGCCTCTGCAGGGCGCCAGGTCCCATCCGCCCCCCGCCGGTGCCCAGGCCCGGCCCTCTGTCGCCGCCTCTGGGCTTCTTGCGCTCCCGGCTGCCCCGGACCCTGGCCCGCCGGCCCCAGCCAGGCCCCCTCCGCCCGGGACCGATCCAAACGCCAAATCTGTCCCCACCATACAGGTGACCCCTCACCCCTCTCCGAGGGGCAGTCCCCTCCCAACCCCCAAGGGGACGCCAGTCCACACGCCAAAGGAGAGCCCGGCGGGCACGCCCACCCCCACGCCGCCTTCCAGCCCCAGCGTCGGGGGCGTGCCCTGGAGAACGCGACTCAACTCCATTAAGAACAGCTTCCTGGGCTCCCCACGCTTCCACCGCCGGAAACTACAAGGTGGGCAGGACAACTGTCTGGGATGGGGCCCCAGCCCGGCCCGCGGTGGTCAGCGTCATCAGTGCTCACGTGGATTCGGGTCCCTGTGAGCCTCTAGCTGGGTGCAGGGCACACAATGGACAAAGGGGCTCTCTCAGCTCCCTTTGTCCTTCTGTGCAGGGGGTCCCATCCGCCTCAATGCTGAGCCCTGGGTGTGGGGTGGTGGACGGACGAGAAGCCTCGAGATCAGGGCAACTGCGAGTGGGGGTCCACGGACACCACAGCGCTGCCGATTGGATGCAGGGGTGTGGTGGGACAGGGAGAAGGGATGGCTTCAGCACCGGGGATGGGACAGTTCCTCCCACCTCCTGCTGCTGACCTGGGCAGCCTCTGCAGTTGGAACTGGTCAGACTGCCCCTGGTCAGTGTCCCCCTCCCCCTGGGGCTGGTGGTCACCTCGTTTCTCTCTCTGTGTGTCTGTGCAGTCCCGACGCCAGAGGAGATGTCCAACCTGACCCCAGAGTCGTCCCCAGAGTAAGTGCCCTGAGCCAGGGTGGGAATACTCACTGCTGAGCCTGAGTGCTGGACAGCAGGGCCTGCTCGGAGTCCACTGCCCGCCCTCTTGGGACCCTCCCTGACATCACATCCTGTTGCTTAGTAGGATGAGATGGGGCTGAGGGCAGCAGCAGGGCACGGCTGCCAAGAGAATTTCTGTTAGAAGCCCTGGTCCTGGTGGGGGTCTTGGTGAGGGTCTCGGGTTGACTGAAGGTGGGCGAGGGGAGTGTGAGGGGAGATGCTGGGGGAGGGAAGGGGTAGTGTGTAGCAGGGAGGCTTGCTCATACAACCATGCATACACCGATGTCGAGCTCCGACCCCAGCCTCCAACCAGGGTGTCTTTAACCTCAGTTCCTTCTCAGGACTCAAACTACCAGGGGACCTCCCTTGTGGGGACTCGGCAGTCAGCTTCCTGGAAGGGTTCACTGGGTAGAAGCAGCGGGGGTTGACAGGGAGTTCATGAGGCCTCCCAGGAATCCCAGCGTGGACATGCAACCATCAGCAAACCCAGTCCCAGTCCAGCACAGAGCTTCCCAGCACTGATGGGGGAGACCAGCAGGTCCAGCAGCAGCCAGAACAGATGGACTTCAGTAAGATGCACACACCGCCAGAAACCAGCAGGTGGTGTGGCCTGCTGAGATCCTAGGCTCCCAGAAGCTGAGGAGGGAGGTCTGCAGTGACCAGGACATGGGGCTGCTCCGGGGTCAGCATCTGCCCCCTGGACCCTGGACCTAGCCCCACTGGGGCTCAGGGTCACTTTCCCCCAGTCTACGGAACCCTCCATCAGTCTGCCAATGTCCTGGAAAAGGATGCAAGCAATTCAGTACCTACCGCTGGTGTGGGATCGCTGGGGTGGGGATCATCGGAGCTGCCAAGGTCATAGCCAGTCCTGGCAGACAGTGCTGAGACCCGTCGGCAGCAGAGAGATAGAGAAGGACCAGCCCAAGTGTCCATCTACAGGGCCCATTCACTTCAGTGGATCTTACTTGACCCGTGAAGAAGTGAGTCCTGATGTGGGCCTTGAAGACAAGATGCTCAGTGAAAGAAGTCAGATACAAAAGGCCACATAGCATCTGATCCAAGGTGAATGAAACACCTGGAATACAGAAATGCATTAAGACTCAAGCTTATTGGTGGTTACCAGGGGCTGGGCACAGAGACAATGGAGATTCAAACACAAATATTTGTTTAAAGAGGAAAAGAACTGTATCTGGCCACGTTCTCAAAATAAGGAGCCATATAGAAGCAGTCTGCTCCTTGCTAGCCTGCTGAGCACGGCGTCACGACCTGGGGTGCGGACCCCCAGACCCAGTGGAGTTTAGGCACTCCAGTCCTTCTCTCGGTTGAACACCACTCCGAGCAGGTTGTGGGTCCCTGACCCCCAAGACCAAGGATCAAGGGACTGTTGTTTCGCTTTTTTTAAGTTTTTATTGCGAATTGAATAACAGTTTACATGGGAGAACATCGGCTTTATGCTCACCATTTCACTGAAATGATTACAATCCCCTCCATGCATCATCATTCAACAGTAGTTGCTTGTATTCTCTCTGTTGTAATTTTGTTTGGGGGGAGGGTGTACATAAAACCACTGAGGAATATATAATAATTTAAAAAACCAAAGGGCACATTCTGCAAGCCTGCCTCCTGGCCGCCAGCTCTCAGTCCCTCTCTTTCCATGAGTCTAGAGTCCCCAGCTGCTCTATCTCTCCATGTCCCCATCTCTGCCTCCATCTCTGGTGTTGCTGCTTCTCTGAATAGGGTCCCGCATTCCGCTCGTGCTCTTCTCTCGGGGCTGTTGTAATCCTACTCGCTTTTTCTTTGTTGATTTTTTATTGTGAATTGGGTGAAGGTTTACAGAGCAGATCATTTCTCCACTCAGCAACGCATCTACATTAAGTATGTATGTAATTCTCACAAGCTAACATCACTGACCCCCCCCCCCCCCCCGGGTTTCTGGTTTCCATCCCCTCTTCTTTCCTAACCCCTCTGAATGGTGCCCGGGGGTAAATGCTGCCCTTTGGATCTCAAATGTTTGAAGATTCTAAGGTGTGCCCCTCCTCTCTAGTGTTACTGTTCCCCTGGTAGACCTGTCTGTTGTTTGAGAGTCCTGGTGAGGCATTGTGGGTTATTGCGCTGGACTGCAAGGTCAGCTTGAACCACAAGGTCGGCAGCTCAAGCTCACCTTGGAAAGCCTATACAAGGTCGCTGTGAGTCAGAACTGACTCGATGGCACTGAACAACAGTTGTTTGGCTGGACATTGAGCCACTGGGCTGAGTTTAGTTTCAGGCCTGAAGGATGACCAGGGGTCATGGTTTTGGGGGTTCTACCAGTCTATGTCAGACCAGTAAGCCTGGCCATTTTTTTAAGATTTTGAGTTTTGTTCCACATGTTTCTCTCTAGGACCTTCTAATGGGGTTCCTTTCAGAACGTTTGGTTGTGGGAGCCGGGCACCATCTAGCTCTTCTGGTCTCAGGGTTGTGGAGACTGAGGTTCACTTTGGTCTCATTGTTTCCTTGCAGCTTGGGTTTTCTTCTTTGTTCTGGAAGGGGAGACCAAGAGTTGCACCTTAGATGGCCCCTCATGAGCTGTTAAGACCCCAGTCAATACTCAGCAAGTAGAGTTTGTGGATACCTCACGGCAGTTGGCTTTGGTTAGCCTTGCTCATGTTGTTGCCTGCCATGGAATCTGTCCCAAAAGAACAACCGAGAGAAGTGAAGATGGCATCATTGTGGTCCAAAGGGTTTTCACTGCCTGATTTCCGAATTAGATGGCCAGACCGTTCGTCCTCATCTGTTTCAGTCTGGAAGCTTTGCTGAAACATGTTCAGCATCTCAGCAGCTAACAAGTCTTCCCTGGCAGGCAGGTCGTGGCTGCATCTAATGTGGACTGGCCAATAATCAAACTTCTTGGGTCGAGAGAATTCTACCATGGAACCGTCCCTGGGTCTCTTGTGTTGTTGGAGGCCGTTGAATCAATTCCAACTCATAGTGACCCCATGTGACAAACTAGAACTGCCCTGCGGGGTTTCCTTGGCTGTAGGAATCAGCACCGGATTGGGAATCACAAGGTCAGAAGTTAAAGTCCACAAACTGCTACTCAGAAACCCTATAGGGAACCGACACGATGGCACCAGATTGCTAGAGCTTTACTCCTGTGGAGCCAATGGCAGGTTAACAACACAGCACTTAATTGCGGCGTCACCACGGCTCCTAGAATCTTCCTGAAATTTCACTCTTCGCTCTTACCAGAAGCTTGCATGAATATAATGAAAATTACTGTGTTTTTCAAGAAAATGAAAACAGACCTTGTAGTCGGGGTGGCCCGGGTGCTTGCCTACGGTTTCCCCTTTAGCTCTGTGAGGAGACCCCATGAGGCTTAGTTCTGCTTGAGGGACCTGGCCAGCTCCTGTCCACAGTAATGGCTCGGCTGAAGCTCTTCCTCACAGCTGTCCTTGCTCCAGCTGTCCACTACGACTAATTCTCGCAGCCCTGTCTGCCAGGATCACCCCACCCGGGTCCCATCAGGGAAGTTCTGTGACCCATCTGCCTCGGCCTGTCCCCAGCACTGAAGCTCAGCTCGTTGTTGTAAAGTACGTTGTTAAGTTGGTTCCGACTCATCGTGACCCTGTATAGCGTTTCTGAGGAGCGGTTAGTGGGCTTCAACTGCCAATCTTGCAGTTCAAACTGATCTTGGGGTCCAGTGCTTAACCTGCAGCACCACACCAGGAGTCTGACCATTTCCAACTTCCTCAAGTGAGGGGAGGAGGAAACGCCACTGTGGCTCCCGAAAGTGACTTGATGTCGTTTCGCGTCTTCGAGTCTGTACCAACTCGGAGCGACAACATAAAGCCCTATGCCAACTTCATAACTGTTGCTGCTCCCACTGTGCCACTCCACCTCACTGGGGGTCTTCCCCTTTATGTCTGTCCCTCCACTTGTCCTTCTCCAGGGACTGGTCTCTCCTGATAATATATCTGAAGCTTGAGAGACAAAGTCTGGCCGTCCTGGCTTCTAAGAAACCTTCTGGCTGTATTTCTTTCAACAGATTTGTTTGTTCTTCTAGAACACCACGGTACTTTTAATCTTCTCCTCTAACACCAAAACTCACATGCATCGCTTCTTCTTTGGTCTTCTTTATTCATTGTCCAACTTTTGCATATGAGGCTGTTAAAGATACCTCTTGTAATCTGTTGGCAAACGTTCTCAAGGGCAGCCTGGGTCCCAGCCTTGGAGTGAGCATAGGGCGCAGGAAGCAGGCTGGCCAGGGGCCTACCCTCTGGAGTGTCGGACACAGAGTGGACAGTGCCTGGGAGCGGCCAGGCTCAGGGGGACCGTGTCTGTGCTCCTTGGCCAGGATTCTGGTGACAGGTGAGCTGACTCTTCACAAGGACGCTGCTGCCTCAAACATGACTAAGGCGGTAAAGAAGCAGCTCAGGATGGGGTCTGGGTGAGGCACAGGAAGCAAGGGAGTTAGCAGGCAGGAAACCCCAAAACTATGCTTTGGAAAGGACACCACAAGTGTTGGACCCTGAAGCACCAGGCCCAGATGTGACTGACCACCTGTGACCATGTCCTCCGGTTCTCCCATTGACCACACCCTAGCAGCCAGGGAGGAGGCCCCAGCCCCCAGCCGCTACAGCTACAGCTGCGTACCACGGGATTAGAGCAACTCCCCATGAAGTCCTGAGATGGCTTGCACGTCTGGGGGGTCCACCTCTGCTGTGGTCAGTGCACTGTTCAGGTCTCTGGAGACACCATTCCATCAAGCCACCATCAAGGAACCGGTTGACGTCATTGCCGTGGATAAATTGAACACCGATAAAAAGTTCAAAGACCACAAAAATAAATCATGAGGGTCTGCCGGCCGATCCGAAGCCGCCAGTCCCAGAAACTCCCTTTGCTGCTGAGTGTCAAAGCGTCCCATCCCCCAACACGGGGTGTGGATTTTGATAAAGGACCACGGCCATCTCAGGAGCCCACCTTCTACCACATTGTTGTCACCAGCTTCTATGGGGGCCAGTGGGGGTGATTTCTACCACATTGTTGTCACCAGCTTCTATGGGGGCCAGTGGGGGTGATTTCTGTCCAGGAATAGGATGTCATGGGAAGACGGTCATTCCAGGAGCTAGGGCTGAAATCCATGCAGGCCCGCTGGTGGGGAGGCAGCTACGAGTCACTAGGGAAACGGGTTGACTCAGGATGCCCCATCAGGGCCTAACACAGCTGGCCAGTGGCTGGACGTGGTCAGCAGTCTGCTCCCCACCTAGGACCCTCCTCTCTGAGGCTTCCGGGGGCTTCCTGCAAGGGACCCCAGGATGTCAAAGTGTGTCTATTTCCTGTCACTGCTGCCTCATGGGATTCTTTAAACTCAGCAGCTTCCACGGAGGGAGGCAGGATCTCTCTCCCCGCCCCCATAGTTCTCACCTTCCACTGGGTCTCCAATCACAGCCGTGGGGCCCTGGGCCCTGCAGGGTCTGAAGGCGCACCCTTCCCACACTGCTCCCCTCACCCCCCTCCCCAGGCTGGCCAAGAAGTCATGGTTTGGGAACTTCATCAACCTGGAGAAAGAAGAGCAGATCTTCGTGGTCATCAAGGACAAACCATTGAGTTCCATCAAGGCCGACATTGTGCACGCCTTCCTCTCGGTGAGGGGCCCCGGGGTCCCCCAGGGTCACTCACACACCCAGCGTGGAGCTAGGAGTCCGAAGGAGACCCCCATGTGCTTGTTCCCATTCATTCCCTGTGTCTGAGTGCTGTGGGGTTGGAGAGCAGGCTCTTGGGGTGGGGATGGCACCGGTACGCAGAGGCACTCCCACCTCAACAAGCCCTGCCACCCTACTGAGGCGCTGATCTTTGGACTGGGGACATGGCCAGACAGACCAAGTCCCCGTGTAGCTGCCCTCCCCCAGCGTCCTCCTCAGGCACACAGGTCAACCTTGCTGGGGGTCCCTCTTGTCCTGCCACCCTCCCCCCCAACCCCTGCCATGGTTCCTGGGACCACTGCCAAGCCTGCTTGCTGCCTTAGTGCCCCAGGTGAGGCTGCATCCAGCTAAGCCCCTGTTCCAGCATCTCTGCCACTTTCCCCCAGAATCACCCCACCCTGGGTTCCCCTAAAACCCCATCCTTGTCCTAGGGTAGCCTTGCATGCTGAGGACCCTGCCTTCCCCACTGGACACCTCTGAACTGGGGTCTTGTTCTGGGGCAGCAGAGCCCTCACCGAGGGGTCATGTGCTACGGCCGTACCCCATCTCCACCCTCACTTCCAGCGTAAACATGCGGTACAGGCCTGGCGTGTTCTCAGCCCCTTTAATCACACCACAGAAGTAAGGCAGTGTCTGCTTCCTCGAAGTCTCTCAGGGTCCTCCAGCCACAGGAAACCCTGCTGACCCTGACCCTCCCTCCTCACCCCCCATTCTCACTCCTCAGTGCCCACCCCTCCCTCCTCTGTGTTATTTGTATGGGCTGTCATAAGCTCTTAGGATTCCCAATCTTTTCTGTTCATGCCCTGTCCACTCTGGTCTCATTCTGTCTGGAGAAATCTAAGGCTTTCCCTGGTCTCTGGGACTTTGAGATGGGGAGAGCAGGCATCTCCTCTCTCCCCATGTTGATGGTGTCCATGGGGCTGTACCCATTTCACAGATAAGGAAGCTGAGGCTCAGGGATTGGTGTGGATGTGAGGAGCTGGGGCCGGGGGTGTGTGGGAGGGGATGAAGCCCTGACTTGCCCTGCCCACATTCTCACCAGATCCCCAGCCTCAGCCACAGCGTCATCTCCCAGACGAGCTTCCGGGCGGAATACAAGTCGACCGGGGGTCCAGCTGTGTTCCAGAAGCCCGTCAAGTTCCAGGTGGACGTCACCTACACCGAGGGCGGGGAGGCGCAGAAGGAGAACGGCATCTATTCTGTTACCTTCACACTCTTGTCAGGTGAGTCTCGGCGGAGACAGATGCACGGGTGGGGCCCTGGTGGCCCGGCCTGCTGTGACATCCACTCTGTCCCCAGGCCCCAGTCGGCGCTTCAAGAGAGTGGTGGAGACCATCCAGGCCCAGCTGCTAAGCACACACGACCAACCGTCTGTCCAGCAACTGTCAGGTGAGTGGGCACGGCACGGCAGCACTGTAGCCTGCGTGGCTTGGACGGGGGGCATGAGGATTCAGCCGCTGGCTACCAGGGAGAAGGCCCCCCAGCGGGTCCCAGGGGCGTGAGGCTCAGCCGCTGGGGACTGAAAGGAGCCTCTTGTCCACTGTAGAGACGCCCCCGCCAGCGCCAGGACTGAGCTGGGGCGCTGTGCTTAAGGGCCAGAAGGTGGCCACCAGCTACGAGAGTAGCCTCTGACCTGGCAGGTAAGGTTCCGGCCCTGCCGCCGGGCGGGGAGGGGCTGCGGGCAGGGGCTCCGGCCCGACAGGTGCCATGGGCCTGGCGCCACATCTAGTGGCTGAGCCCCCAGGCTGCTGGCCGCTGCAGCCTGGCTTGGGCAGCGAGGGCGGGCTACCCAGCGGCAGAGCCTGCCCGCTGATCCTCAGATGCCCCATGTGTAGCCCAAGGGCTGTGGGCTCATATTGGGCCCTGCAACCTTGACCCCCTTTCTCCTGGCGCCAGGGTGGGAGGCACTTTGGGCAGGACGCAGGGGCAGTTAGGGCTTATGCAACACTGTACCTGGGAGGAGGAGGTGCTCAGGTTTGCCCAGGTGTGTGGGCCACATGTGTCGAGGTGCACCAGGCTGTCGGCCATCTGGTAGTGGGGGCGGCAAGGCAAAGTGTTGTCTGTGTGTGCACATGGCTGGGGCTGGTTTGCTGAGGTCCAGCCCCTGTCCTCTGGCCGTGTGGGTTCCTGTTTAACCATGCTGATCCATCATATGTGTGTCACCACCCCACACTTCATGTAACCCATTGTCTCATCCCATGCCCCTGGAAGGAGACTGGCATGGGGGGGGCAGGTGAGCTCAGGACTCCCAGACTCTGGTACACCAAGGTGGAGTTAGGTGGTTGTTGTTGAGTGTTGTCGAGTCGGTTCCGACCCATAGCGACCCTTAACAGGGTTTCCGAGGCTGTAAATCTATATGGGAGCAGAAAGCCTCATCTTTCTCCCCCGGAGCAGCTGGTAGTTTCCAACTGCTGACCTTGCGGCTCGCAGCCCGATTCATAACCACTGCACTACCAGAGTATATTCAAATGGGCTCAGGTGTGCTCAGGTATACTCAAGCATGCTCAGGTACACTTAGGAAACACTCATGTGGGCTTGAGTATACACAGGTGGGCCCAGGTACACTAAGGTGGGCTCAGGTGTTGTTGGTGGTAAGTGCTGTCAAGTCATTTCCGACTCACAGTGACCCTGTATAGTATTTCTGAGGAGCAGCTGGTGGGTTTGAACCTCTGGCCTTTTGGTTAGCAGTTTAGTGTGTACACTACAGTGTCACAGCATGAGTCTGGGCTCAGGTGTGCTCAGAGACTCAGATGTGCTCAAGCGTACTCTGGTGGGCTCAGGAATACTCAGGTACACTCAGGTACACTCAGGCCCAGGTGGGCTAGGTGCATGCAGGTAGGTTCAGGTAGACTCACGTGGGATCGAGTATATTCAAGTGGGCTCAGGTGAGCTAGTTACACTCAGGTGGGCTCAGGTACCTTGAGGTGGGCTCAGGTGCAGCACTTAGAGCAGGAGAGGTCCCAAGTTGAGGACCCACAAGGCACTGTTGGTACCAGGGGCGCCATCCCAGGTACAAAGCCTGATGGCCCCCACTGGCCCCGGGAATAGCCAGGCAGCCTTGTCAGATGAGGCTGGGCAGGGCCTAGTGTCTGTCCAGGAGGCACAGGGTCCGATGTAACCACTAACATGAGACTCCAATGATGTCAGTCTGTCCATCCATCAACGAGGACCCAAGTCCTGGACCCCAAAGTGCCCCAAGAGGACCCTCCCTATTCACAGAGCGCCACTTTCAGGCCTTCCCGGAAGCAGAGGACACCTGACCAGTGCTGAGCCTGTCCCTGCAGACCTGGAGCCTCCTTCCTGGGAGTCCAGGGGTGTGGCCACCTGAGCCAGGGTCCCTTCCTCCCGTACCCTCCCTGTTCTCTAAGGAACCTAGGGTCCCAGTCAGGGAATGGGAGACTAAAAGACCCCAGGGAGAAAGTGAGAGGAAGGGAGGGTAGAGGACATGCCTAACCCTGCCCAGACCATCAGGAGCCCTGCTGTCTGACCTGGCCTCAAGAGCATTCCTAAGTCAGGCACCTTCAGAGCCAGGGCAGACCCCAGCTTAGCTCTGCCCTAAGGCCCGCGGGGAAGCAGGGCCAGGCTGCTGCCCGCCCCCCACCGCCACCTCTCTCAGCTGGCCCTGGGGGTTTTTCTCACATTCTTCCTCCTTTCTCCACTGCGGTCCAGACAACACTCATTGTATGGAAATGCTGACGGGGAGGCTTTCCAAGTGTGGTAAGACCCCCACGCTCACCTCCTGTGCCCACAGCCACCTCATAAGCAGGCATAACCCGCCTCTCACCCGCCAGGCGGCACCAATGGGCACCCCTGCCAGCCCCTTCTCCCTGCTAGGCTTAATGCTAGCGGTGTGTACATCATCACAGGCCCCAGAGGGATCCCCAGGCTTAGCGAGGAGGGGTCCCCGCTCCCCGAGGGCCCATCTGTGGCCCCGACCGTTCAGGGGGTCAGTCTTGGTTGAGACCGCTGTGGACTCCGGTGCCCCAGGAGGTCCCGTTCCTTGTGACTGGGCATGGAGAGGGTGCGCCCCAGTGCCCTGGGCTGGGGGTAATGACAGGAAGTGGACCACGTTTGCACACCTGGTAGTGAGCAGAAAACCAGCTGCCCCCCTAGGCCTTCCTCCACCCCACCCTCAGGACATTCCCTCTGGGACCAGGGCCACTCCCTGCTGCCTCACCTGCCCGCCTCCTTGTCTACCACCCATCTACCATCTGTCTGTGTGCACTGACATCTGTCCTAACCGCCTGCCTGGCCACGGAGCAGGGGCGGGGGTGGGAGGCTGGCAGCCACGCTCTCTCCTGCCTCTGGCTGGGGTGGGGGTCCCCTCTGGCCAGTGGCTTGTGATCAGCCCTGGTTTTCATGCTCTTCTGGAGAGTTGGGGTCAGCCAGGCTGTGGGCTGAGGGACAGTGGGGATGGGGAGACGGGGCCTTCAGGCCACCTGCCCTCACGGTCAGCTCAGAGACCTGGGGACTCTGTGGGCACCCAGGGATCCCCGCCTGCCGCCTGCCGCCTGCCTGCTGCCCACCACCCCCTCAGCCCGCAGCCCTCTGGGTTTCCTTCCTCTTGCTGAGGCTCCGGTTCATAAGTGTGTTCTTTCTCTCTTTCCCTCCCTACCTCTTTTCTTTCTTTTTTTAATTTTTTATTTTTTTCTCTTTCTCTTTTCTTTTCTCCTTTTTTTATTTTTGTCTTCTGTTCTGTGTACCTAGGCAGCCCATTGGGTAACTTCTTTGACGTAATTAAACAACTTTTTTCAGACGAGGAGAACGGGCAGGCGGCCCAGGCCCCCAGCACGCCCGCCAAGCACGGTGCCCCTGGCCCGCTCGGCGACTCGGCGGCCGCTGGCCCCGGCCCCACAGGAGACGCCGAGCACCCGACGGGCAAGGACGCGGCCAGGACGGGGCTACCTGCCGCCCGCCTCGAGCAACCCTAGCTACACTAACCCCCGGCACAGCGCTGACCGCGCCATCTGCCGCCGCTGTCCCGTGGACCCCTCTAGACTGCTGTAGCGAAGCCTGGGAGGAAGGAGAGGGGCGGGTGGCCGCCGAGCCCCGCGTCCTCTTCCTCTCTCGCTGTCCCTGTCTCTGTCTGTCTCTGACGTCATCACTTGTTTCCGCTCTGATACCAGGAATTATGCCGAAAAGTTAACATGTCAACTCCACGAAGCCACCCTCTGCTCCGCACCGGACACTTGTGACCGAAGGCAGCTGCCGTGGACCTGTCCACCCTCCTCTCCTCTCCTCTCCTGCCCGCCTGCCCGCCCGTCTGTCCGCCGTCTGGTTCCGCAAGACTTACACAGGGTCTCCGGGACACCTCCACCCCACCGGTCCCTAGCCAGACTCCTGGCCAGACTGCCCAAAGGGCCACCCTCCAGATGGTGGACGCCGTGGTGCCGAAGCAGCAGAAACAGCCCCTGTCCTCGACGTCCTTCCCCCACCCCCAGCCTCCGTGACACACCCACTGCATCCCAGCGTCCCTGTGCCGTCCAGCCCATCCGGCCTGCACCCTGCCCACTCGCTGCCTCAATTCGGGGTCTGGAAGTGACACCTGAGTTTGACGATCTCCGCAGTGGAGGTGGACAGAGAGAAAGAGGCCAGGAAGTACCAGAGCAGCAGGAGTGAGGCCGCCCATCCACTCACCTGCCAGGACCCCGCCTGCCAGCCCTCCGCCCACCACCTGGGACCCTGCAAACACCCCAGTGGAAGGACAGTGCACCACTATTGCTCACTCCTGAAATGTGGGGTTTCCTTGTTTCCCTGTCTGGGAGGGGCCAGCAGCAGCAGTTTCTACCGGCCAATTGTCTGTCTGTGTCTCCGTCACGGGCGGGTGGAGTCTTGGGCCACAGAGTCCTTAGCAGCCGGGCGGGCAGGGAGACAGGTGAGGCGAACACAGCACTGGCTTACTGTAAACTGTAAAGATTCCTGCAAGATATTTTTATAGACTTTTTTTTCTTGGTTGTTTTTGGAAAAGGGAGCGGGGGTGGGGAGCCGCTGGGCAGGACGGGTTTCCGTTTCAGTTTCCCCGTTATTTCTATACGCACATACATATATATATATTTAAAGAACGACGCAGTGAACTCTCTGAGGTAGACTCTAGTTCATTACTGTGGAGACCCCTCGCCAGCCTCGCGGGGGGCGGGAGAGGGCGGCACCACAGGCCCCTCAGCCCAGGCCCAGGCCCAGGCTGGGGACATGCTCAGTTCTGTGTCCAGGAGCAGATGGGAGGGGCAGCAGGAAGCCAGGGGCACCGCTGGGTTTTTTTTTATTAAAAATGATATTAAAAAAAAAAAAAAAAAGTGAGCGAGCAAGAAGTCCAGGCATCCAGGCGCCCTCCGCAGCACGTTTGCTCTTGTACATAGCGAGGCCATGGTGCCACCTGGCCTCGGCCGCACCTGGTTCCATCTGCGTCTGCCGTTCGGTTCGAGTGTCGGTGCTGCGGCCCGGCGGGCTGTCAGGCGCTGCCGGGGAGGCAGGGCTGCGGCCGTGGTCTCACCCGCATGCCCCGCTACCCTGCCCCGCGCCCGCCAGCCCGCCGTCCCTCGTGTATAGATTTTAATGCTTCTGTTCCATTGAGCCTCCACCTCGGGCTGGACCCTTGGCAGTTCCAGCCTCGAAAGCCACGCGGTGCAAGCAGGGGGTTCGTCCACAGACGGGCACGCCCGCGGGAAAGCAATACCTCCAGTGAGCCTGCCTCTTTTGTACTCGGACACACCTGGACACCACTAAACAAATGGACAAGCCCCACCCAGTGTACCCTTGTCAATAACTGTGAGCAACTTGAGTTCCGGAACAATAAATCCCTTCATAGAGACACTCGTGAACAGTCTGCATCCCGGCCGGCTCTTCTCCCTTGGGGCAGGGGACTGGGGATTGCTGATCCATGCTCAGCGGAGTTGGGTGACCCCTCTTCATCCCTGATTGAAGAGGACAAGCCCCCATATGGGGTCAGAATAACTTTCTGGCTAATTGCAACTGTCCTCCAGGCAGTCCCAGCCTGAGTTGGGATCACAAGGCCAGGGGCTCAGGGAGGGCAGTGAGGCCAGGGGTGCACTGGGACAGGGGACAGGACAGTATCTCCTCACCACTGCCGCTGCCCCAACTTGTACACAGGATCTCTCTGTGCCTTTTGTGGAAAGTGGCTGCTGGGCGTGGGCATCTGGCCTTGAAAGCAAGGGACCAAGGGTGTCCTGGAGACTGCCAGCCGGGATTTTGTTTGTGGAAGAGAAACTCGAGTTTCTGGCTCAGCCTTGCACTGTGTGGGCAGAGCTCCAGGGTTCCCCAGCCAAGGCCTGGAGGGCAGGTGAGAAGCAATTCCCCATGAACCCTCTCCACGTCCCCAGAGCCCACTCCTTGGTGGGCACGCACACACAGACATGCGGGGTTCACTCATGTAAACACAAGGGTCCTCCTCATACCTGCAGACACTGAAGCACAGTGTGGTTCCATGACCCATGGCAACACCAGACTTTGCACTTGACTGTCCATCTCTGCAGCGGGATTTCTCCCCTCAGCATCCCTGGCTGTAGGGGTTGCCCTGTGGGTTGTCAAATGTCCCTGAGGTACAGGCCGAGAGCCGCTGCTCTGGACCTAAAGAGAGCTCAGTGCCCTACGCCTCCCTGCTCCTTTAGTGGGGGTAATCTACCGGAAGGACATCCGTTCATGCTCGGGATACAAGGCTGCTAAAGCTAGGCCTGGATCCTCCCACCACCAGGGAGACTGACGGGCAGTATCCGGCTCTGCTGTAACCACGGACTTTCCGTTTTCTATTAATAATAAGTTGAAGGATGGACTATGGCAGTCCAGCCAGGCATGTGATTGGCTGCGGGCCATGAAGCGAAAGAGTTTTTGGCCTGCTGCTTTCCTGAATGGAAGCCGATGCACAAACATCTCCACAGCTTTTTCTATTTGTCCTTCGAAACGGTTGGAGTCAAAATTGTCAGAGTTAATGGGCACGCGATTACAGTCCCACAAGAAAACAGAACATAGTTTATTCAACAGACATGGCAGCTTCCTGCCTGCCACCAATCACGCTCCTTTGGCGCAGGAATTTCCATACAATGGGCCACAAGCCGGATATCCTGTTTGTAACACCAAGCTTTTGCTTGCTTGTAAGTAACAAAAAATAAGGAAAGCTGGCTAAAGCCAAAAATGGTAAATATTTACTAAAATAAAATGCATCTACAGTAAGAACAAATATGTAAGGGCTATCGATGTGGCGGGCAATTTTCTTAACATTAAGCCAATTGGTGTCCAAGCCATTCCTACAGAGGACAGACACAAGTGGGCGCTCTTTAAAAATGCTAAGATGGTCCAGCCACCCAGTTAGAGGTTGAACCTTCTCAGCCCGTTTCCAGTCCTGTGGAGATAAAAAAAATAAGTGGTCTGGCTGTGAGCTGGGTCTTGGGGGACAGGTGGACCTTGGTGAACCCACTGATGGAATTGTAAGGTTTAAACGGACCTAGTGCTGCTGAAACAGAAACACCACACGTGGAATTTCTTAAAGAGAAATCTATTCTCTCACAGTTTAGGAAGCTAGAATTTGAGATCAGTGCTGGCTCTAGGGAAAGCCTTTGTCTCTATCGGCTCGGACCGAAGGTCCTGGTCTCTTCAGCTTCTGCTTTCTAGATCCTTAGAGAGCCCATAGGTCTTGACATCAAACACTCCTCTTCTCTGCTTGCTTGTTTCACCTTTTTTATATCTCAACCGAGATTGACTTAAAACACATCCTACAAGAGCGGAGGTCCCTGGGACCATCAAGGGAGAAGAGCGGAGTTACCATCCTGTCCATGCATCTTCCCCCAACGAAAGGGTATACCTTGCATCCAAAGATGCTCCAAAGTCTCACCGTATCATAGCAACAACTCCCAAATCTCATCAGCAAAAGAAGTCCCAACTCTCCTAATTTTAAATCAGCTAAGTGAGGTGTGGGAGAGGCTCTGCGTTAATCCATTCCACTCGGTCTGTGAACCTGTGAGTGGGAGAATAAGCTATCTCCTTGTAACACACAACGGTGGGACAGGCACAGAGGAAGCCTGGCATGTCCATTTGAAAAGGGAGACGATGGAAGGAAATGGAGTTCCAGGTCCCAGGTCATTCCTAAACCCAGTTAGGAATTAGGCCTCTGGGCCTGGGAGTAACCCGCTGCGCCTCAAGGCTTTGAGCTCGGTACCTAGGGATCTGCCCTCCGGGTTGTCCTTCCCTTCTCATGAAAAGTGCCACATGTACAGATGATTAGCTTCACTTGTCCAAGAACCCTTTCATTGTGCCCTCTGTCTGTCCATCCTAGGCCAAGCTGGCAATGTTTCCGCTGCTATGACACCTCAGGAATCTTGTGTCCCCCCTCCCCCGTTTAAGTCATGGGAACTCACTCCATTATGTAATTCCCACCAAAATGATCACTTCTTTACTCTCAGCATTTGCTGAGATGACGGAAGAGATCTACTAGCCACACAGTTAATGTCTTCCAAGTCTTCAGTGTGACGAATATCCTGGCCTTTTGCTTTTTCTGAGGCATTAGCCTAGGGCTGCCCATCCACACCCTCCGCTTCTTTCTAGAGAATCCTTCCCTGAACGTGCTGACTTTAGTGGCTTTTGCTGTCAGTATAAGTTGAGAACTTTCCAAATCATCAAGTCCTGGTTTCATTTTGCTTTAAAGTTCTTCCCTCAAGAGGTGGCCCCCCCCCAAAAAAAATATGGAGGTAGGAGATGCCATGGGAAGGAGTACAAGGATTAAAAGCAAAAGGGGTAACCACGCTGTCTACACATCCTGCAACAATGGCAGGTGCGTGGTGGATGGACGGACACACAGGCTGAATGGGTGTAACCACGCTGTCTACACATCCTGCAACAATGGCAGGTGCGTGGTGGATGGACGGACACACAGGCTGAATGGGTGTAACCACGCTGTCTACACATCCTGCAACAATGGCAGGTG